AATTGCATCTTAATTTGAGTCACATGTGATGCAGCTCATATTTCCATCCTATCACTTGTTTCAATTTTATGATTAGTTTTGTAATCAAACTTTTATAAAAAAAAAAAATATAGGAGAATTGACTAGTAAATTCCTTTTTGTAGACTTGTAATCCAAAAAGTTCTAAATATTTTTTCCTGATTGAGTGGTCCCTTAAATTATTTGTTGGCCGTTTTGCCATTATTAGTACAATTGGGAACATGTGACGTGGTTATGTGTAAGGAAGGTGGTGGAGTATTTGTGTGTCACATTGAAGTTCGGTTGTTTTTAATGCGTGCAATGTGGGACGTGAATTTTTTACTAATTATTTTTTGGCGTGTGACGTGACAACACGCAAAAATTCAATCAAATTTGGTCCGCCACGTTTGGAGTGTCATATGTCACATTTAGGAAAAATACACTAATGAGTTTTTATATATGGGGAAGGTGGTGGGGTGTTTGTGTGTCACGTTATTCAAAAAAACGCAGTTAGTAGCTTTTTAAAGTTTGGTTGTTTTTAACACGCGTAGTGTGAGACGTGAATCCTTTACTAATTGTTTTTTGGCGCATGACGTGAAGACACACAATTATTTTAATCAAATTGGGTACGTCACGTTAGAATGTCACATGTCACATTTAGGAAAAGTACATTAAGAAGTTTTTTATTTTTTTAGAGTGTCACAACATATCCTCCACGTTATTACATTTGAAAAAAAATATACTAAAGAGTTTTTTTTTTTTTTTGAGTGACACATCATACCTACCAAACTGTCACATATGAAAAAAGTACACTAAGAGTGGCTAAAAATTTTAGAGTGTCATCATACCTGTCACGTTGTCCTATCGTTGAAGTGTTACATTAATACCTGCTACATTGAAGTATCACACCATACTTGTCACACATTCCAAAAAAAAAAAAAAAATTCCCAATTAGCTAGTGAGGGTATATCTGTCTAAGCAATAGTCATTCATATTTAAAAAAGGACTTATTAGTTACACACTACACTTAATAAAGATTCCTTAATCAACCATTCAAACACATAAGACCAAATGGTACAGAAGTTTTCAAAATAGGACTATTCTATAAATTTCCAAAAATATATTTGCATGCGCTTCGCAAGCTCATTTATTTGAGTTTTTTTTTCTCATACTAACAATTTATTATTATTGTAGAAGGTTTATTTTCTTTGTTAATTAATAAAGATTTTAATTTATAAGTATATTTTCTTTTTAATTCAAGATTGTTTAATTTATTAATTAATTCAATTAATAAATTTTCTTCTTGTTGTGATTTATAGAAGACATTGTGCTTGTTTGGTGCAGCTTAAAAGCTGCTTATTTCAGCTTTCAGCTTAATTTAAGCTATTTTGATGTGTTTGGTTTAGCTTAACAATGCAGCTTATAGCTTTTTGTAAGTAAGAAATCAGCTTATTCTTTGAGTGGGGCAGGAGATGCTTAATTTATAAGTCAGAAATCAACTTATGTTCATAGTTATAAGCTATAAGCTGTTAAGGCATAAGCTATAAGCACTTTCTCACAGCTCTACCAAACAGGGCTATTACCTTATTTACAACAGGTATCATTACATTCTAATTCTATTTGATCATTATCAGTATCATTACTAGGAAAATAATAGTCAGAGGTTCACTAGATGGGTTACTAGAGAATAATAGTTAGGTTACGTTTGTTTGGCGGATTAAGTTGGTTGGGATTGTTAGTGAAAAGATTGTTAATGTGGGAATTGTTGGTGAGGGGATTAAGTAAAAGTGTATTGGTTTTAATGATAGTGTGAGAGATGGTTAGCGATGGGATTGTTAAATTATTTTTATATAAAATAAATAAATAAATTATTTCTATGTTAAAAAAAAAGAGATTTTTATTGATAAATCCTATTTAGAAGTGTTCTAACCCAAGAAGTATATGAGGAATTTTTTAACCCACTTTAGTCTCATGTATTTATACTTTTATTCCATAAAGTCATTTTTCTTGATTTATACTATTTTCTTAGACTCTTATGCTCTTAATATTAATATCTAATGTTGATATTTAATGTTGAGGGAGAAGAGAGAAGGGAAAGGATCAAGGCATATGAAATTTTATACACAAGTTAAATAATATTGATGTTATTATTTTATATTATTATATAATATGAATATATTTTTAATTGACAACATATTAAAAATAATGTGAACATTCTCTCTCATCTGATGTGAATATATTTTTAATTGACAACACATTAAAAATAATGTGAACATTCTTTCTTATCTGATGTGAACCTTAACATTACCTTTATCACAATGTCATCTGATGTGAACATTTACATTCACGTTATCTAATGTAAATATTCATGTTATCACGTACAATCATGTTTATATTCAAATAAAAGTTGAGACTTGTAGTTGTGTAATTAGATGCAATGTTGATGTAAATCTTAATATCACCTTTATTACAACGTCATTTGATATGAATGTTCACATTCACGTCACCACGTACAGTTAACATTTGGATGCATGGGAACTACTAAAACATAATGACAATCAATAAAGAATCATGTTTAATTTTTTGTGTTAATATTTATCAACATTAAAATAGTGATGTGTAGTTAATGTATTTTTTTGGAGTGAAGATATGAAGAATAAGAATGGTGATGAGAACTACCAAAACATAATAAAAATCAACATTAATAGGGGTAAGAGAGATTGAGGGTGTTTTGGTCTTCTTACCTTAAACAGGGCCTGATGGAATAGTAAAAAAGAATATGGGTTGGATGAAATAAAACTCTTAAAAAAGAGATTTATCAAAAAAGCTCCCTAAAAAAAACTAAAACAAATATTAAAATAAATAGGTGCACTTGATCAAAAAAATAAAAATAAAAAAATAAAATTTTATATAAAATAGACTCTATCCCCTCATTGTTTTCCTAATCCCACCCAAAATTCACCCAAGCTAATCCCCCTACTTAGGGGGGTTAGCAAGCCGCTTGAAGTAGCATCCCCCCTCCACAAGGAAGCCACGAAACAAGGGTTAGTGCGACTCACCTCCTTACTACTCTAATCCCACCCCCTAATCTCTCAAACAAACATGACCTTAGAGGTATCACTAGATGGGTTACTATCGCTAGATGGGTTACTTGATTGATTCCCGAGTATTAGCTAACTTGAATATTTTAAATATTTTATTTTGATTTTTTTCAGTAATTTGTAATTGATTAAACTTTTCTTTAATTTTACATTTGTTAGAATAATGAATCTTTTTATCACAATTATAGATAGTAATATTTTGAGTTGATTTTGACTTTTATTACAAATAATAAATTGTTATAAGGTCTTATTAATGAAGAGTTTGAGTGACTGCTGTGCAGTTTGCACAACAGTGATTATTCTGCTGTTCATGGAAATTATTTTGAACTTTATTTTCATCATTCGAACCGTTCAATTTTTAAAGAGTATTGAGTAAAATATATCTGTAAAAAATCAAGTTGATCAGATATCGATAGATCCTGCATCAACTCACATTTGTATTCAGTTTAATACTTATATATTTATTTTTTATATATACAAATTCATGTTGATGAGGGGTCTATCGATATCCAATTAACTTGATTTTTTATAAATATATTTTACTCAATGTTACTTAAAGATTGAATGATCCGAATGATGAAAATAAAGTATGAAATGATTTCTATGAACGGCAAACTGTACCGTAGTGATCTTGATCCTATTAATGAGTACCTTGAAAGTATTGAAAACAATACTTTAATAATTATAGTTTCCTTAAAATGAAACAGTAACAGACTTATAAATGATCCTATATAACTCTTACTTATGTCTTGTTTGGGCTACTCTAAAAAAGTTAAAAAGTCAAAAAATCACTATCTTATTTAAATCACATCACCTCTCTACCACATCACTTCAAATTCAACCTATATTTCATAAAAAGTCAAAAAATTCACTTATTTAGATCATCTCAAACCATCATTTAGTCTGACATATTATTTTATAAAAATAAAATTATTTTTATTTTAAACTCATTTACAAAAGAGTGATGTTATTCATAATTATATTTCTTATTTTATGTTCTCACTCAAATATACAAAATAATAGGGCTCACGTCAATAAATATAGGTAAAACCTATTTGCTTATGTCTAAAAGTGAGAAAACGAGATAGGAAATAACATGTTTGGTTTCAAATTTTAAAAAATAATTTTTTGAGTTTTTGAATTCGTATTTTTGTATTTTTATCGATTTTTTTAAAATATTTTAATTATTATTATTTTTTTTACTTTTTAGATTCACTTAATTTCGATATACTTAAAATGTATAAAATTTATATAAAATTCACTGTGTACAATAAAATATAAAAATGTAATTAATTTTGATATTTTTTAATTTTAATTTTTTTTTTGTATTTAGTGAATTTTTAAATTTTTTTTCACAAATATTATATTTTTTTTAAAGTATATTAGATTAAGTGTTTCTAAAAAAGAAAAAAAAATTAGGTACAGAGTTTTTTAAAAATTCACTAAAAATAAAAAAAATGGAAAAAAAAATTCAATTTTAAAATAAAATAAAATAGAGATAACCAAACAAGTACGTGTGACCTATTCACATTGTATCTAAAAGTGCGAAATGAGGTAGGAAAGAACATACCATCTACTAACAAATTAACGGAGCTCACATCACTAAAGAAAATGTTTGATATTTTCAAAAAAAAAAAAAAGCATAATGACGTTATAATATATGTTTTAATTTTTGATTAATTATCTTTAATAATGGTGGGCTCAGTTCCCTCATCACATGAGAGGTGAATTTATGAGTATAAATATGTGAATCTCTAATATTTTTTCATGAATAAATACATGTAAAAATAAAAAAATAAAATTACATGTAACATTTTATTTTACAAAATCCACCATTATATTTTGAACTTTTTTAGAGTGATTTTATTTGGATTTATTATAAAATTAAAATGCAAAGAAACAGAAAAACCAACGGCGCTCAATAGGATTAGAAGCATGAAGGAGGGTATGGCGCGAACTTCAACGATGCTTCTTCGAAGCTAAAGTCAGCTGTGGCCCCTCGGAAATATAGGCTGCTCCTTCCTCCTTCATCGCCTCTCTCTCTTCTCTCCTCTCTCTCTGTATGTCTTCTTCTATAACAATGTATACATATATTTATATATATACATGCATATCAATTAATTCTTTAAGCTACAATTTCGATCATATTCATCGAATCTCTCCGTGCTTTTCTTAGTTTTTTGCTTCAGATCCTCTGAACAACAACAACAATCGTACAACCAGGGTTTCGGACAAGAAAAAGATCTTGTAACTGTAAGATTTGTTCATTTCTGTAGAGATATATTGTTTCTGTTTGATTTAATGTCTCTATGAAACTTCCTGAATCTTGATTTGCATTTCTCCATTCAATGTTTTAGTTTTTAGTTTGTGGGTTTTTTTTTTTTTTTTTTGTGCAATTTTTCTCCCCTCTTTTGATTGGAACATAGGGAGTTTTTATTATTAAAAAAAAATATATATATATTTTATATCCCTTGATTTGATCGTAGAAATTTCGGAGGTTTATTTTTTATATTTTTAATTTTACTTGAAGATCCAACTGTTTGCTTGGAAAAGGGTTAGAAAGAAAGAAAAAAAAATTGATTTAACTACTGTAATTTTTTTTTTCTTTCTCTTTTTACTGAGAAATATATCCATAAACATGAGCCTAATAAAACTTTATAATTCAGTTCCATCCCTGGAAGCCAGAATGATAGTCAACATAAGATTCATATGAACCCATTTCCCATTTCTTAAATTTTTTTTCCTCACTTTTCTCACCAACCAAGCAAAGGGTGGAAAATTTTCAATCAGGAAGCTTTTGTGGTATATATGGTTACTGGCAGTTAGAAAAACTGAAAATGACATGTCTTTTGTTATTTTGTTGAAGTACTCTTCTAGTGCCCACACACAAAAAAATAAAATAAATTGAAAATGAACTTTACAACTTGTATTTACTCATGAACTGTTCTTATCTTGCCAGAAATTCCAATGGCTACTAGTATAGCTACTGGAAGCGGCAAATTACATTTCAAAAAGATCTGCGGGGGACAAGGTCGCAGACAAACTTATTGTGTCTCTGCTTTTGCCTTTCAGCGATCCATACAGAAGGACCTCTCAAGGTAAGGTGATAAGGAGCATGGTTATAGTGTTTATCTTGTCTAATGATTTAGTTTTTACATTAGTTTCTAATGTGTTTACTGCAATAATGTTCTGTCTTCAATTCTGAGATAACGTGTCCTTTTGGCCCAAAATTTGTTTTGTTTTGTTTTGTTTTAAGTCCTAATTGATTTCAACCGGGAAACATTATTGTTGTGATGTTTGCACCAAATAAATTGGCTTTTTATATATAGATTTTTTGATAGGAATTATACAAAAGTTAAGAATTTCCATAATCTTAGATCGCATCAAGAATCATTCTTTGGTTTTGCAAAAACACCGGCACTCATGGCATGTTACCCCGCAGGAATTAAGTGGGCCAGACATTGCTCATACATTTTATTTTGTGCACATACTAAAGTCCTATTGTATAGCTTATCAAAAATGCACTTTATATCATAATACCTCATGGCAGAATTTGCAGTCCTTTTCTAGATTAATTTCCGTATTACGAAAAAAGCAGAGTTTCCAAATTTTCAGCATTTATACATACTTCTAAGTTCAGAGACGTGTTTTATACATTCAGGTCATGTGGAGTGTCCAAGTTCTTGCAACTCCAGAGATGTAACCTCTCCCGCTCTCCAATCGAAGAGAATTCAAAACCCCTCAGAACAGTCACTACATCGTGCTTGAGAGATGGTTCTACAAAGTATTTTGATTTTGCTGTGATTGGTAGTGGAGTTGCTGGCCTTCGCTATGCTCTTGAAGTTGCAAAACATGGAACTGTTGCGGTGATAACCAAGGCTGAGCCTCATGAAAGCAACACAAACTATGCCCAGGGTGGTGTAAGTGCTGTGTTGTGCCCTTCAGATTCAGTGGAGAATCACATGCGGGATACAATTGTGGCAGGGGCTTATCTATGTGATGAGGAGACTGTTAGAGTAAGCTTCAAACACTGATTTTTCCCAAAGTCATTCTTCAGTACCTCTTATGTCTTGTATGAAAAGTGTTATCCACGTCTACGGGTGATATAAGAACACATCAGGTCTTAAGAATTGGGTTAAAAAATGGAAAATCTACGATGATCGATTCACATACTATCCTTATGTGATTATGATGACAAGCTACTAGGGGTAGTTTATGTTCATTGGCACATGAAATATCAAGAAAATGGTTGTTTTGACAATTTTGTGTACTTTTCTAACAAATTTAACTGTCATGATGCACACTTTTTTTGAGAATGGTTATTTGAGTTACATCTACTCCTGTAATATTAACATGTGGGTACTTAACAGTTGTATATCTTATGCATTCTCATTGAATTGGAATTTGCAAGCTTATGCTAATGTACATGTTCTTACTATGTCTAAGCAATGCCAAATAGATTATTTGAGGCCTCCCAGACTTAACTGTTGAGCTTTATCTCAGATTTAGTTACATTATCCAGGTCGTGTGTACTGAAGGACCTGATAGAATTCGAGAATTGATTGCTATGGGTGCGTCATTTGATCATGGTGAGGATGGAAACTTGCATTTAGCAAGGGAAGGAGGCCACTCGCATCACAGGATTGTTCACGCTGCTGATATGACAGGGAGGGAGATTGAGAGGGCACTATTGCAAGCAGTTGTCAACGACCCTAATATTTTCATGTTTGAACACCACTATGCAATAGATTTGCTGACTTCTCAGGTTTGCGTTATAATATGCTTCCTCTTATATGCTCAAATATTAGTCTCACCCTGAATTGTATCTGCTCCCATTCTGGGTTGGCATGAGTGAATGCACATTTTAAGATGCTGTATCACCATGTGAAGATGAGTGTTATCTGTGAAAGCTTTATTAGTGTTTTGTTTGATGGTTTTAGTTAGACCTTCAAGAGGAAATGCTCCACAGGTTTTTACTAACATAAATATGTGTTGCTGGGCTTACAGAATGGTTCTGACACAGTTTGCCATGGCGTTGACGCTTTAAATACTGAAACACAAGAGGTGAGTACAGTGGCTCTTGGCTATATAGTTTCTTTTCATCATTCATTCTTAAAAAACATATTTTTAGGTGATAATTTATCTTTTCAGGAAATTTCATATCTTGATCTTACCTTGTTCTACTATAATTTTGCTTTTTCTCAACTCGTAGGTCATACGGTTCATTTCTAAGGTGACCTTGCTTGCATCTGGTGGGGCTGGACATATCTATCCGACAACTACAAATCCTCCGGTAATTTTTTGTTTTTAATTTTTTTAATTGATTGTCGTTGCCTTCTGCAGGGGTGACCATTGGTTTAATGGTTAAGACTTGGCCTAATAACCTTGAGGTTATGGGTTCAAGTCTTGGGACCACCACTTTACGTATTATGCCAAAGGGTAGGTGTGTACTGAATCTTTCCCCTCCCAAACACACATTAATGTGTACTTATTGGGCGTTGTTTTTTATTTTTTGATTGTCGTTGCCTTCTATATTTTGGGATATTTCTGAGAAATGAAGCTTGTCACTCAAGGTTGAAGTTTGTTCTCATCGTTCAAACAGCAAAATGTAGAATTCCGATGCTAGCTATGTCAAACATCCCTCTCGTGGGTTGCTTGAAAGGTGTTTACATTACATGGTTCAATATAATTAAGGCCTAGTAACCATCCTATATTTGACAACTGAGTTTGACCATTTGAGATTCTCACTTTGGTTGAAATTTTCTTAACATCAATTGAACTTGTTTTTGACTGGCATCATGAAATTAAAGTTATACAACTGAGTAATGGAGATGGTCTTGCTTGTTTCATAAATTTTAAAGGTGAAATGAATATGGAGCTTTCTTTTTCCATGCTTCTTTCCTTTCCTAATACAAGCTTTAATTGCCTATAATCAGTTCTACTTCAAATTGTGTGTTGTCTGGTTAAAGAATGAAAATAATAAACTTGTCGGTTTTGTAAAATGCCTCACTGTTTGATTCTTTCTTGATATGTACTTATAGGTAGCCACCGGTGATGGAATGGCGATGGCCCATCGAGCTCAAGCTGTAATTTCCAACATGGAGTAAGTAATGATAAATGCATTGCCCAAAAAATAAATTAATTCATTCCTCATCGTTCCCATGTCAAATTCATTCCATTTAAAAAAATAAAAATTATATTATGCCAGTTGGACTACTCTTCTGAAATGTGTAATGATTCCTAAGTGTGGATATGCTGTGAAATGAAATCATATTGTCATGTTTTTGTATTAGTAACTCTGGTTTGTTGCATTATTTTGTTGCCAGATTTGTTCAGTTCCACCCAACTGCCTTAGCTGATGAAGGCCTTCCCATCACACCAAGCAAGATCCGAGAAAATGCTTTCTTGATCACTGAAGCTGTCAGAGGCGATGGAGGTATCCTCTACAATTTAGACATGGAAAGGTTCATGCCCATGTACGATGAGAGGGCAGAGCTTGCTCCTAGGGATGTGGTAGCCAGAAGCATTGATGATCAACTCAAAAAGCGTAACGAGAAGTACGTGTTACTTGACATAAGCCACAAACCCCGGGAAAAAATTCTCACCCACTTCCCCAACATAGCTGCTGAGTGCCTCCGCTATGGCCTAGACATAACTCACCAACCAATTCCAGTAGTCCCTGCTGCTCATTACATGTGTGGAGGAGTTCGTGCAGGGCTCCAAGGGGAGACAAATGTGCGTGGTCTATATGTGGCTGGTGAGGTTGCTTGCACAGGATTGCACGGAGCTAACCGACTTGCTAGCAACTCATTGCTTGAGGCACTAGTTTTTGCTCGAAGAGCAGTGCAGCCTTCGATAGATCACACAAAGAGTTCCAAAATTGACCATACTGCTTCAGATTGGTGGGATCGACCAGTTGTGCCCTTGTCACTTGGTAGCGACATGTTGGGAAAAATTGTGAGGAGAACGAGGGAGGTGAGGAAGGAATTGCAATCGATCATGTGGGAGTATGTTGGAATTGTTCGATCAACGACAAGATTAGAAACTGCAGAGCAGAGGATTGGGGAGTTGGAGTTGAAATGGGAAGCATATTTGTTTCAGCAAGGTTGGGAACCAACAATGGTAGGGCTTGAGGCTTGTGAAATGAGGAACTTGTTTTGTTGCGCAAAGCTTGTCGTTAGCAGTGCCCTTGCTAGGCATGAAAGCCGAGGACTACATTACACTATCGATTTCCCCAATGTTGTGGAAAGCAAGAGGTTGCCAACAGTTATCTTCCCTTGTGCACTCGTGAATAACACTTGGAGTTCACGACAACTTCAGAATCAACACATGAGATAGAAATGCGAACATTGAACTTCATTGTTGCAGCAGTCTCAGATTAGAGCCTTTGAAGAGAGCTCACTAGGTTTTCCCTTTTCTCAGTTTTGATTTTGATTTTTTTTTTCTTTTCTCCTTGATTCATTGCAACAAATATGGAAAAAAAAGTATTTTTGTTTTGATTTTGATTTTGATTTTTTTTGATTCATTGCAACAAATAAAGAAAAAAAAAAAAGCGTTTTGTACAGTTACTTTTCTGATTGAAATCTTATTTTCTGTGTTCCAATTTAATTGTGTAACCATTAAACTTGTTGAAGTGCATATCAATCAATGTATTCATTGTTATGCATATCCGTTTGCAGAGGCTAAATTATGTTGGATATTCGTGTTGTTTTAACTGGTAATTGACTTGGCATTAGAAAAGAGGATGTAACTGACTAGCATTACAGTCTGCTCTCAGTGGCCATCTCTAAAAATTTAACAACGCTATTTTATTTTTACTTTTTTTTGTCTTTCTAATTTTCTAGATAATTTTTAATCATTTTGGATAACGCTTTCATCCTTTATATTATTACAATTGTTGGCACAAAGTTAGCCAAAGAACAGCTCAGAGGATGAGAGAGTGTTTTTTTAGTACACTTAATTCTGTTTTCATTAGTAATTTGTTAGTCGTATGAATAAAAAATAATGTTTTGATGACTAGATGTCCGGACCGGCTTATACGCATCTCGACTAATGAAAAAATAATATTGTCATATCTTTTACACTGAAATATATATTTTTTCTTGTTCATATATGTGTTTTCACATTATTTACTTTAGTTACAACCTTACTAAAAGGAAGGTCGCTCTAAAACATATACGAGTTTTAGGGACTGAATTTTTTTATTCATAAAAGTGAAAACTTTGTTGTAAAAAATATTTGAGTACCAATTTCCATCATCACGAGGATAGTTGTTAAAAAGTCGATCCGAAAAGTCAAAAAATAGGTTTCTAGCGACAATTTTAAAAACATCGCTTATAAATGCATTTTTAAGAAAAAAAAAAATTTGATCCCATAAGTTATCACTAATGTTCAAATTTCGTTGCTAGAAATAAAATAATGACACTTTTAGCAATAAAAATATTTTGTCCATTAATGTAATTTTGTTTCTAATACCTTAATTTGTTGGGATGCTGGTGTAATTATACTAAAATTGTGAAGCTACATGTATTTTTTCAAAATCTCAAGTGAGATCAGTGTAATTTCTCATATTTTTAAAGCATGACAAGAGTGTCCTTCACGAAGGCCCTGATCCTAATGTTAAGCAAATAGATTTTTCACAAAATTAATTTTTTTTTTTAAAAAAGGAAAAAAAAAAAAAAAAACATAGTACAAACACAAAATAGGTTGAGAAAGAAGAGCATCATAGCTTAGAGAAAATCCAACTCATTTTTATGAGATCACTCACTTCCTCCCAATTAAATTCCTCCATTGTAAATAATCCAACTCATTTTCATGAAGTTCAATGGCTGTTGCTTTTTTCTTTTTTTCTTTTTTCTTTTGGTGAATATTAGTATATATTATGAAACTCTGTTGAATGCTTTCTTTTATATTTGAATGAAGTTCATATCTTTTGCCAAAACAAACAAATAAACTAACAGACTTTAACAAACAAAATTAAGTTTCATTCAAGTTACAACACACTAATTCACACAATTTCAACATGTGATGATCTAAGCAGCCAGCCAAAGAAAACTTCTTTAAATTCCCACATTTTGGGTCCATTTTTATGACATGTGGCATCCCAAGTAACCACAAACAAATCCCAATTTGTGGATCTACCACCTTAAAATTCTCATTCCATGCATGCATGAATGTGTGTGATTCTCTGTCTCTATATATATGCCTTGACCTTGCAATCCGAAACTGGGCGGTGAAACAGGACTTCTATTCTATTTGAACTGAGAGAGAGAAAAGGTTGCTCACAAGGCAACCTTAACCATGGAGTCTAGGTCATCAATTTGGGCACTTGGGTGGTTGTTGTTTTTCACATTGGTGGTTGGTGAAAACGGCGTCGTTGCTAACAGTAGTAATAGTAAGCGTGATGGATCAAGGGACTGCAAGTTTCCTGCAATATTCAATTTCGGAGACTCTCATTCGGACACTGGAACTACATCGGCCGCCTTTGATTCTCTTGGTGCACCACGCGGCATGAGTTTTCCCGGCTTGCCTGGAAGGGCTTGCGACGGCCGTCTCATCATAGATTTCATAGGTAAAGTACAAGTGTTGGCGTGTGTTTTATGGGTTGTGTTTTTCTGAAAAGAAAATTTCTATTCATATAAACAACAGCACAAGAATAATGTCATTTTTGTAGCTAAAATTCATCTTCCTGATTGTTTTATCCATATATATATTCTGTATGTATGTCATTACTCTTTTTGAAAAGATAATTTTGTATTTACAAAAATACTTGCAGTCTAAACATTTTTTTGTATAGTCCCTCTTTCTCCCTTAGAATAGTTTTTGTAGACGAGAAAGGATTTCTTGGAAGCAAATTACATTTTAGAGAGATTATCTTTAAAAACGCCTCGAAATGTACAATTTACTTCTGGATTGTCTCAACAAATAACAAAAAAATTACATAAATTTTTTTTTTTTTTGGGAAGAACTATGTATTTTATTGTGATAGTTTATTTCAAAATACAAGACTCCGTTTCGAAACACATATAATTGCTTGTAATTATTTTATTTTTACTTTTTTTTGTCTTTCTAATTTTCTAGATAATTTTTAATCATTTTGGATAACGCTTTCATCCTTTATATTATTACAATTGTTGGCACAAAGTTAGCCAATGTTTATTCTAGAGGTGGCAGGTATGGACGGATCAAAATGAATTATACATTTAAAATAAGAAAAATGTTTAAGAACACTAAAAGTGAAGTTCTAATGAGAGTTCTACTTATGTAGCAGTGGGTCTCACTTATGAATGATTTGATATATATGTCTTTTTTTTTTGTTTTTTTGTTTTTATTCCATGCCACATCATTAGAGCCATTGTTAGAGTTCCAAATTTAGAGCTATCAATCCAAACCCGCCTATTTAATAAATGAGCTTAAATGAGTTGGGTTGAATTAGATACAAGTTGGACAAATAAACCCAACCAACTCATTTATTTCATTTTGTTTTTGTAAATATATATATATATATTTAAAATTATTTTATTATTATTATTGTTTAAAAATATTTTTTTTTCTAAAACATATATATATATATATATATATATATTATTTTTTAAAATATTTTTTTAGTTTTTAATTTTTTTCTAATTTTTTTTTAACAAAAATTATTTATAAAATTTTAGAATTGATGGTAGAATGGTGCCCATTTAGACGGATTTAAATATGTACCCATATCTAATCTATGTAAATCCAATTATAATTGGGTTAACAATGAGCAGTCCATTTAAACTCATTTATTGATTTGGGCCGATTAATATAGGTTTTAAATTAATATAATTGCATAGATTTATGGGTTTGGATTAAATTTGTCAACTCTAATCTCGTCTCCTTTCTAGTGTGACTGATCATCTTCTCAAAGTAGCTACTAATAACTAGTGATAGGGTTTACAAAGGATAGGGTTTACAAGCTAAGGGCTCAGTACCCAGATGCAGTAATAACATAAGTTGACATATATTCAGTTAAACACAGACTTATAGTCAATGCAAAGAATTATGGTAAACTTACAACTTTAATTTTACGTTTTCAAAGTTAAATCACAATTGTTAGGATTGTTGCGTCCAATCATTTATTTTATTTTATTTTATTTTTTTTGTTGCAGCTGAGGATTTGGGACTGCCATACTTGAATTCACCAGAGGACACAATAGGGTCAAATTTTACGCATGGTGCTAATTTTGCAACAGGATCAACGATGATCAATCCAGACGTCGTTTATGGATCCACCGTCCCATTCCACCTAGATGTCCAAGTCTCTCAGTTCTTTCAATTAAAGTCCCACGCCATTGCCCAACATGAGCAACTTCGCAATCACAGTCTGTTTCTTTCTTTCCACCTAATTTTCATATACTTCGATACCATCAAGAATATTTTGATTCAATTCAACTTGTCATTCATCACTAAGCTATTACACTTTATATAGACGTTTGTTACAACTGTTAACCCAACTTGAGTCAAACTAACTAAGAGAGATTACACACTAACTCTAACAGTAAACAGTTATATTCTCATCAGTATTGTCCTTTGTTTTGGTGTCATTTTGATTTCTAATATTTCTAATTATATTAATTCCAACCCTAAAACACAAATGAAAAAGGACAAAACGTAGCCTTATAGTATTTCAGAATAAAATTGACATAATTAAAAATTTGGAGCCAGTGTGACACACATACTGCATACTTTAGAGAATAAAAATGAATTGTATCATCATTATTATGTTAATTATTTAGATGATGATTTGAAATTGAATTAATTTAACTCAAATCAACCACTTTAGAATTTGGAGGACTAAATTGATTCATGTAAAAAGGGTTAAGTATAGAACGTATAGAGTAATTTGTGTAGTTCATGGAATTGGTATTGATCTCTACATCAATACTATCGTAAAGTTTTGTCATGATCTTTCCTACTGAAGTTATTTCTTTTAATTCTAATTGTTTTAAATTTGATAATTATGATGATTGATCTAACTGTTACACACGTAAATATTTATCCAGACTTTTAGTATAAGTATTATATAATGCTAAATCAAGGGGTTCTACCCTAATTGGCTAACTCTTTAGTCACCAAGTTTTTCATCAGAGAAGGTCTTGAGTTTTACTCTTAGGGGGTGAAATGGGAGAGTAAGATTTTCTTGTAAGGTGTATGAGTATAAGTTTTAACTCTTTAAGATGCTAATCTAGCAACTAATCATTAATTTTTGCCGATAAAAAAGAAAAAGAAAAAGAAAAAGAGTATTATATAATGCTAACAATGATGGTTGTTTGTGGCATTCAGGAAATAACCCACCAATTCAAAACAACCTCCCAGAGCCCAAAGTCTTTTCAGAGGCTTTATACACCATTGACATTGGGTCAAATGACAAGCTTGACAATCTTTCCATATCTAAGAACATGAACCAGTTCTCCAATTCCGTACAGGTAAAAACATATTTCTAACTTCTAAGTTGAGTTTGTGTTACCATTTGATGTTTGATCATTTGAGAATTGTGTATAGTAGTCTCTCTCATTTGAGGATGTGAAATGTTCAAGAAGAAAAATGTAAGCTTCTCTTCTATTTGTAGAAAAATTAGATCTGTCTAATTCAACCCACTAGGCTCTGAACCATTTCAATGTTTCAATCAATTCAAAATTTATGTCCTTGTCTGCAAATTATTTGTTAAAAATTAGATTGATATGATAAATATAGTCACATATATAATTTGATTATATTTAACGCCAACGGGTTGGTTTAATGGTTGCAACTTAGAACCTAGGGGTGTGTTCTTTTTAAGTCTTAGGTTTAACTACCATTAGGAGCAATTTGCTCTTCGGGGCTATGCCCGCGTGACTCTACTCTGGATTTTTTCGATCCACGAGGAGGGGGTGTTTTGTGTGGGTCTCAAGATTAGTTGAGGTGTGCGTAAACTAATCTCAATATCCAGTCATCAATTTTTTTTTTTTGATTATATTTGTTTTTAGAGAAATGGACGGTATTTTTAAAATCATATTTTTCATCTATTCATTTCAAAATAAATATGATAAAACCATGTAATTATAATTATCAAAACAATTTTAATTTTCACAACAAAAAATTAAATCTAAAAAAATGTCAAGAATTCGATTGCATGCCGAAGATTTAAACTTGGTATGATGTATCACACTCAAAATAAAATCTGATCATCCACATATTTCATATTTCAAATTTTAAACTTTTTTTTTTTTTTTTTTTTTTTTTTTTTTTTTTTTTTTTTTTAAGTATGTAACATTGTTCTGTAAGGATTGAAACTAGAATAGTGCTTATACAAACGAAAAATTTATACAAAATTTTGATCAAAAATTTTGTACAAATCAAAAAAATTGATAAACTATGTGCCAACCTAATTAGTTTTCCATAAGCAATTGATGCATTCATGCTTAGGCTTTACTGTATTTTTTATTTTTTGGTTGTACACCTTTTACTACATTTTAATCAATACAACTTTTCCCTTGGCCAATTATTCAAAAAAAAAAAAAATTGATCAAGAATGATGTGGCAACTTGATTCTCACTTGATAGTGTGCTAGCATATGATTAAACTCTCTTTCGGGTGTCAACCTACTCTGGATTAGTTCGAGTCCTATGATACTTTTTACACCTCCCTCCTTTATTGATTGTATCCATGTTCTTACATTGAAGTAATCAATAAAATTTATTTTGCCAATAATAGTAATAATAAAAAACCCTCAGAATTTTAAAAGGTCCATCAATGTCACTTGTATTTTTAAGATGCTATTCCATCAGAATTTTGGCAGTGTTGTTTGTGTAATTATAGGCATCCCCTCTATTCTAAACTGATAGGTTCAAAACCCATTATGTATGGGTTCTCTATACAAATATTTTTGTCAATATATCATCGCTCTTTTAGGATTATCATTACTATATTATTCTGATATAAAATTATGTATAAATTTTTTGTTTGTGCACCCTTTCCTTGAAATTAACACGTGTTTCATGGTTCATGTTACTTTCAGAGGCTACTTAGGGGAGGAGCAAAGTACTTGTGGATACATAATATTGGCCCAGCTAGCTGCACACCCTCCGGTCATAACACATGCAAGAATGAGCCAGGATGTGTGCTAGATCAAAATGGGTGTGATATAAAATCCAGCAAGTCGATTCAGGAGTTCAATAAACAACTGAAGGATACGGTCTATAAGCTAAGGGCTCAGTACCCAGATGCAGTAATAACATACGTTGACATATATTCAGCTAAACACAGGCTTATAGTCAATGCAAAGAATTATGGTAAACTCACAACTTTAATTTTAGGTTTTCAAATTATTTCCATCTCACTAAAAATATGATGGGTTTTTAATTTTGGTTGTAAGGTCTTACAATTGGCAGGTCAGTGTCTTTTGAACTCTTGAAACCTCTCTGCAATTCACCGCATAATTGTTTAGTCTAATACCCTAACAATCTCCTCAGAAACGTAGTTGGGCTTTTATACCAATTTTAGGCATCTTTGCACACTCCATTACCCCACATTCATCATCTCTCTTAAAATTAATTAGTGTTTAGCTAGGGTTTTGGATTTTGTTTTAAGATCTCATATGGTTAATTGATCAGTATCTCTTTAGCTTTCCAAGCCTTACCACATAAGGGTTTGGATTGTTTGGTCTCACATTCTAACAGTCAGTCTAATACTTGTGTCTACATTAAAATAAGAAGGGTTTTAGTTTTGGTTTTGATGTCTTGCAATCAATTGGTCATGTCTCTTGAACCCTTCAAACCCCGTGCACGTCGCTGCATGAGGCTGAATTGTCGGTCCTATACCCTAACAATCTTCTAAGCAACCATTCTTGGGCATCTTGAACCCACCTCATACCAACTTTTTGGCATCTTTGCACTCTCCACTAAGTCCATTTTCTCCATCTCTCCAAAATCTAATTGGTATTAACAAGGGTTTTGACCACGTACAATCAGCGCCTTTCAAACATTTGAAATGTTTTCCCAATTTGGCGCAACTTATTAAAGCTGCATATAATTGTTTTTCCCCTTTTCTCTAATGTATGCTTAGAATGTTGTATGTGTCACACTTGAACTTTTAACCTCATAATGAGGTGTAGTATTTGTGAGTTGTAAATTGTTACATGCATGAAAGTATATCTAATTGCTTTTGGGATGTGATTGGCAGGTTTCACTAATCCATTCAAGTTCTGTTGTGGCAATGAGTTTCACACATGTGGTGCTGTAGATTTTAATGGAAATCTCTTGGTCAATGCATGCAATGATCCACAAAAGTACATTAGTTGGGATGGTCTACACTACTCCCAGGCTGCCAATCAGATTGTTGCAAAGTTTGTTGTCAATGGCTCCTTCTCTGATCCACCAGTACCTGTTGCAAAGGCTTGTTATAAGCAATACTGAAAAAACTGTATGTATATGTATCCATCAATACTCAAAGAAGAGGTATTGACGATCTTTGATTAAAGGCATGTACATGTCTTTGGTATCTCCATAATATACTCCGAAATTTGTCATCACTTGTAACTTTTATATGTATTATCATTTAATATTTTAATGAGTAAATAAATAAGAGTTTAGGGACTAAATTTTTTTGTCTGAAAAATGAAAATTTTGTTGCAAAAAAAGTTTGGGACAAATTCTTGTCATCGTGAAAATAGTCACTAAAAAGTTATCTTGAAAAGTAAAAAAAAAAAAAAAAAAAAATTAGCGACAATGAAAATGTCTCTAATAAATGCATTTTTAGAAACAAAATAATTTGTTTTCAAAAAGTTTTTTTTTTTTTAATTTTTTCATTGTTAAATGTCCAATTTTGTTGCTAAATATACAATAATAACATTTTTGACAACAAAAATATTTCGCCACTAAAAAGTGACTTTGTTCCTAAATTTTGTCACTAAAATCTTAATTTATTATAATAAATTCTATACATAAATGAATTTCTCCTGCCATATATTAGTAACAAAATCATGTGGAACTCGTATGAATTTTATTATATATATTATCATGTGGAACTCGTACATTTGTGTCTATTAATAACAAAATCCTATAAAAAAATTATTTATTTATAAAATTTTCATATTTTAATTTGCTACTTTCATCCGAGTTCGGATCCTCGGCCGCCCTCTCCTGCAGCGCCCCAAAACGACATCGTTTTGGGATAACGTTTCAATTAAACAAAAATAGAATAGGAGCAAATCAGAGTCTCTTCCCTCTCTCTCATCTTCTCCAAAACCTCTCAAACTCTGAAACCCACCTCTCTAGCATTCTCTTCTTCCCACTCCAAGAAACGATGAGGCCATTTCTATCCTCTTATTTAAACCTACATGAGATTTTCCTAAATCAGCCAATAAATCTCGAAGAACCCCCAATTTTTTTTTATCAATTAATTTGTTTGTCAGCTTCTCAATCATCCCAATTCAAAGGAAATTGATTAAATAAAAAACCACCTCTTCAAAACTAAACTAAAACTCTAACCCAAGAACCTCCAAGATCTCACACTAACACCCATCAAAATCATCACAAAAGATTTAGTTTTTTTTTGTGAAAATCAAAGTCCTCCAACCTTTACGTTTCTGCGCAATGATAATTCCTCGAACCCACCAACATAATGCTAATCCATATATATATACATAGCTTTATTAAAGCTATGATCTTCGCCAACCAGTTGTCTTTGAGCTTGAAGAAAAGAACTAAAAAATTCTGCAACTTTAATACAATGAGAGAGAAAGAAAGGGAGAGGATCTAGGCAGTCGTAGAAGGCTGTGAAAGGCTAGTGATTTGCAAGGGTGACCCAAAGAAAGAGTCTGGATCTGCCGCTGCCTTCCTTCTTCTCCCTTCTTCTCCTTTTCTGATTTGCTCTTGCTCTTTTTTTTTTTTTTTTTTAATTGAAATTTTACCTCAAAACGATGTCGTTTTGGGACGCTGTAGGAATAGCCGCAAAAGAGGGCAGCCGAGGATCTAAATTCCTTTCATCCAATTTAGATCTTAACTTGTGGCTTGTTCTTTGCTTTCATCACTGAAATTTTAAGATGAATACTTACTACAATTATTTTCATTTTAAACTATTATTTTCCATAAAAATTAAGTTCGATTATTATAACTTATTAATAATTCATCTTCAATGACACAACAGCCACCGTAACCATTACCTTGTCACCACAAATTACAATCATTATCGTTGCCTCCCGTACTTCATCACCACCACCTCATTTGACTATCTGACCACCACCTTGGGAAAGGGCTTAGGTGTTGTTTTGTTGGTTTTTTGATATACTTAAAAAAATATATATATATACATATACATATAAATAAAAAAGTAACGGAAAAATTAAAAAGTTCATATTTTTCTAAATTTTAATTTTTTTAATATATCAAACAATCATTACTACAATGTCTCAATGGGACCACATAATTAAATGTGGTGTTATCATTTATAAGAAACCTACAATTTAAGTGATTCAATTTAGTTAATAGGCTTAAAGGTATATGTGTTATGAACCAAATGTGTAGATACTAGTTGTATAATTTCTATTTCTATGAGGGGCAGAAATAGAAATTAAAACATATTGGTTAAAGTTGGTTTTCATTCATTTTGAACTTCCACAACCTTTTGTAGACGTCCCCGAACGCCCCGGGAGGAACGTGCTCCCATTCTGTTCATATTAGGGTCACTACAGCTCAGGACTCTCAAATTGCCACGGTTCTAAATCTGAACCAAAGAGTCTAAATCCGATAAATCGTTTTGAGAAAAACAGATTTTTGAAAGAAGTGCCAAACATGGACTGCTTTGCCAGATACAGAGTCGCCACCTAAATATTTTATTTTGGGAAATTTAGGAAACCCTGACTCGGTGCCAAAAGGCCACGTGTCCGTCATCACCAAAGTTGCCTCGGCTCGGGAACTTGGGTACGATTGGAGAAGGTCACTTCGTGAGCACCCCCGCTCGCCCAGTCATAGACCGGCCTCTACTAACCACGATATCAATTTTTGAAAACATTGTGAATTCTTATTCCGGTTATTAGCCTAGGTTACTATGTGATGCGCACAGCATACAAGTATAGACCGACGGATCTATACCCGGCATCTCGTACGGAGTCCATGCAAAGACATCAA